GAAAATCCAAAGAAATAGTATACAGACTGGATCAAAGGTAAACTTAAATCTAATCCCTTTTTTTTATCAAGGGTCGATTCTAGTAAAAACTCAAAACATTTTTATATGATATACCTACTCTATTTATGGTTGGTATGATACCTGTAATAACAGGTAAACTCAAATGTATAATAATACCTTTAAGTTTCGATGTTAAAAAATAAAAAAAAATAAAATTTAAAGTTTTTCTACAAACACTTGTTTTTTTTATTAAATTAGTTTTTGAGTTGTATTGTAGTCATGTACAAGGAGGACAACTGTATTTTAAATATTATATTTAATTTAACGTTTTTCAAACAGGGTTCATTAGACTATATTTCTACTAGGTACATTATTTTGAAAAAAAAATTAAGAAAGTAACTTAAACATTCATAAAAATAGAAGTAATTACTGTTGTAGATTCTTCGTTATATTGTAAACATTGAAATAACTGGAAGCTAAACTTTCTACCTGCTTATATTTAGAGCCAGTGTCTGACGATCTTTTTTTACGATGGCCCTAATATGTTTACTTCGAAAGTCGATAAGGGCGCCATATCAGTAGAAAAAAGAAACAGAATATCTCCCTTTTTGTCGGTCGCGCGTACACAATGCTTTTTGTTCGGCCTATTTGTTCTGCTTGTTCGTGCGCGCTCGGTTCGTTCGGGCTAAAATGCCGAACTCTGGACGCACCTTTAGGAACAATACTGTTTTTGCCCTTTATTGATATAATGCTGCAAATCCCACGAGTTACATGTATCACTCTACACATATTAAATTACATAGACGTAGGATGTTGAATATTCTATTATGAAACGACTGATGGAATCAGGCATCGCGGATTTGAAAAACATGGAAATAACGGGGTTGGAGATTTTACTTGCTCCATTTACCACACCAGTATTTATTAACGAATTTTACTTAGTCGGGGTTGGAGATTTTACTTACTCCATTTACCAAACCAGTATTTATTAACGAAAAATCCAAGAATATTTTAAATGCATCATTTAATATTACAACATTTCATGATTATATGAGGAGACAAATATCATATTACAACAAGCTCATGAATAGCAACTTCGCTTTTTAGTTAACTCGGATATTTTAACATTTCTGAAACAATATTTTCTAATTGGTAAAACGTAAAAAATCGTTAGATCTGACAACTCTGTTGACACTGGTCGTTCATCTGGCCGCAGCTAAAAACGCAATGCATCCGGCCAGCCGACGGCCAGGTCGTTGCGACCTGGTCGTCAGTGAGTTTGAGCCCTAGGCTTGATGTATTCTCCGCCGGTGCTACCGTCATTGGATATTATCGTAAACAACCGACTTAGAGTAGCTGCAACGACGCGACGTCCCGTAATCCTGCTGTTAAAATTTAACAATTGTTCTTTTGTGTACTGTAAAAACTAGCTGTTATATTTTAACAGCAGGATTACGGGACGTCGTTGAAGCCACCCTTATACAAATATATGGGTTTAAATAGCGAGTACGCATACTCGTTAAAAAAACGTTAAAAATTTTGAAATACCCTAAATACAAAAAAAGTTAATTGTTTAATTCTCCATCATCTATTAACAAAATAATATAATTCCATTTAAAGAGACGAAGAAAAATTATTTTATATTTTAGATTAAATTTGGCGTAAAATTTTGAACGTCCGGTATGATTTAAGATTACTACCATTTATAGCAAAGTTATGTGCAGACTATCTAAAGTATATACCTAATATAGTTTTGATTTCAAGACAGTTCTTGTATTTTTAATATTTTTTTTAAGAAAGGCTGAAAAATATATATATTTTTATTTATTAATATCTTTGAAGCTATCGAAATATATTTACTCATATCTTAAGATTATGTAAAGTGATCTGAAAGGAAGTGAAAAACAGATTGTTATATTTAAAATAAATCATCCCGATTCGCTCACACTTTTTTGAACCACCCTATAGAAGTTAAAATATTTTCCTGCAATATATCCCAGTACATAATTTAAGTTTGCATTTAAACAACATCCCCTAGATTTCTTTTCTAGGAGCTACACATGCCCGTCGCACTATTGCCGGACCCTGTAGAATATATGCTTATTTACACATTTTTTCTTATTAAAATAATAGTCCAAGAGCCGGGTGCAAAAAGATGCAAGAGATTGGAATTTAGTGTTAATAATCGATTGGAATTTAGTGTTATAATCAAAGGTACACTAGTGTTGCACAAGACAAGAATTTTTGTCTTGAAAATCAATTTCTTGTCTTGTCTTGAAATTCAAGACAAGAAATTTTCAAAGTCTTGTCTTGCAGATTTCTTGAATGGCAAAGTCTTGTCTTGTCTTGCGAGACTCTTGAAATTTCTTGCCTTGAGAAAAATTTTACATTGTAACAAAAAGGTAATAATATTTCTATATTTTATTTCATAAAAAGCGTCGTATACAAAATGTAATACGGAAAAATGAACAACAACGATGCTAATTTTAGCAAAAAAAATCTTAACGGACCGCAAACGAACTACGTCAACTGGCTCGTTTAACGAAACATTACCAAATAAAAGCTGAATAAGAATAACTAATGTTAAGTTCATTTTTTAGTTCTAGTTGTTAATTCTTGTTATTTTATTATGTTCTATTTTGGTTACTCGTTTGTTACTTTTATTTTTTATGGTATTTATTTTATTTTTTTATTATGGAAGATTGATTGAAAAAGTTTGGACACAGGGTGTACGGAAAGGTTATGCTAGAGTTTACTATTTGCGCTATTTGATACTACTTTCTGTTCGCGGAGCAATTTCGTGCATGAAAAGTAGTACCAAATAGCGCAAATAGCGTGCTCCACAAACCCACCATTAGTTTCAACTACCGTTAGTTTTTTTATAATACCATATACCAATATAATTTTGTGTATAATACCAATTATCAATATACGGTTTGTTGCCTCGACTTTATTTTATTTCATTCTCAACTCTAAAACACTGGCTATGATAGAAAAAAAATGAACACTAGTCAATATTAATGCCGGGTTTATACAACATTTGCATAAGTCGTAATCATAATCACAGTCTTAATCATCGTCATAATCACATCGGAATTTTAATGTGCGTTTATAGAACATTTTCATAATCATAATTTTTAAGTAGTAAGAAAAGTTTTAAGTAGTTTTAGTAGCTAAGTTCATGGTAGATGTCAACAGGTTTATAGGAAGTGGATAATTTAACTTTTATGATTATGACTATGATTGTGATTACAACTATGTAAATGTTGTATAAACACGGCATAATTTCCGCAAAGACCTAATTATCACTTAAAAAAATCTATCATTTCTAACTTTCAAGAAATCTTGAATTCAAGAAATCTTGCAAGACTCTTGAGATTTCTTGCATATTAAAGTCTTGTCTTGTCTTGAAATTCAAGACAAGAAATTTTGAAAGTCTTGTCTTGAATTTGACCAAAACTCTTGCAAGACTTTTTCAAGACTCTTGTGCAACACTAAAAGGTACAGTCAGCAGTCAGCAATCTATTATCGATGAGTCTGACTGTTTTTATTAATAAACATATTGTTTCCACTATTACTTGCAAGTTTCAGCCTTCAGAAATCACTTTGAGTGACAACATTTTTTTTACAGCCCCTTTGAGGTAGCGCTGACGATTTGTGTCCCATACTTCTCTGTCTGACTCTTATGTTTTTGTTTTACATTGCATTCGAATGTTATCTACAAATTTGTTTACAAATTTTTCCTCAGGAAACGGTTTGGAAATGTTAATTAAAATTACATCTTTGCGCGCTTCTCAGCGCAAGGTTTTCCGGAATTGGAACTGCTGACTGTACCGTTGTTTTTTAATACTAAAATGCAATTGATTTTGAAAATACAAGCCTTCAGAAAACTCTTGCGTGTTTTTGCACCCGGCTCTTGGACTATAATTCCAAACTTACGTACTAATTTTATTTTACTAAAACATTAACCTCATAAATTTCTTTGTATTTTTATAGTTTCTCTATCTATACTAATATATAAAATCCTTAAGTGACTGACTTACTGATTAATCTTGCTTACTGATTAATCCTGCTCCTCAAATTTGGCATACAGGTTGATTCTAGGGTGTAGAGGTTCGATAAGAAGGGATTTTTAGAAATTCCAGTTCTAAGGGGGTAAAACCACCCCTCAAATATTACAATATTTTTTATTTAAAAAACGGTCAAGTTTCAAGTTCAAGTCAGAAAACGCTTAAACACGTATATTTTATTTTGTTTTTTACATATTTTAAGATTTTTTAAAAAGGTATACAGGGTGTTTCGAAAAATCTGGTCATTGATTAATCACGATCCTGCTTAAAGCGCTTGACGTAAAAAGCCGATTTTTGGAAAACAGATTGACTTTAGGGTGTAGAGATAAGAAGGGATTTTTCGAAACTCGAATTCTAAGGGGACCCCTCCTCAAGTATTAGAATATTTTTTATTTAGAAACCGGTGAGTTTTTCGGTAAAAACTCTTAAACACGTATATTTTATTTTGTTGTTTTACATATTTTAAGATTCTTTAAAAATGTATACAGGGTGTTTCATAAAATATGACCATTGAGTAATCACAATTCTGCTTAAACTGCTTGAAGTTTAAAGCTGATTTTTGGCAAACGGATTGACTGTGGGGTGTAGAGGTTCGATAATGAGGGGTTTCTCTATTGTTTTTTCTCATGCTGACATAAATGTGAGAACATTTTATCCAGTTTGTATGTTAATGGAAATGCTTGCTTTGCTTTATCATCACCATTACAAGTAATTAATTCGACGCGAACGAAGTCGCGGGTACAAGTTAATAAATAAATAATTGTTAAAGATAGAATTTTTCTTATAAAATAAATATTTATATTTTTTTTATCAATCCTTTTTATACTATTATGTTACTTTTCTACATGATATGTCTAGTTTGTTTAAATATAAAAATAGAAAAATAAAACCTTACTAAACGGAGTATTTATATTTTTTCCTAATTTGCAGAAGTTTTCCAATTCCAATGTCCAAAAGTCAACGAATCTGAAGCCGCTACTCATCCCAGATACGCTGATCCAGAAGACTGTCAATTCTTCTATGTGTGTATTAATGGGGACACGCCCAGAAGGAATGGTTGTAAGCTAGGTCAAGTTTTTGATGATGTCGTCAAAAGGTGTGACTGGGCAAGGAATGTACCTGAATGGTAGGTTAAAGTAGATATATTAAATTTTTATCAAGATATTACATTTTATCAAGCAATATCAAACTGATATGTATGCCAGTTAAAAGTTATCTCTTGATATTTTGTCGAATTCGGCCTTCTTGAAAGTGAGAAAAGAGGTATTAAAAGAGGTGTATTAAAATAGACAAAAACAACATTCATATTTAGTAAGCAAAAAAATACAATTCTAGTTGCACAAAAATAAAATATTGCAAACATGGAAATATAACTTTTAGATATTGACGTTCTGCTTAGTATAAATTATACAGGGTTGTTCACCACATACGACACGGAGTATTGTAGCTAAACGATTACATTTTTACAAATTGTAAGTCTTGGGTTCGTTGGAGGACTATTAGAGCTACAATTTAAAAATATTTTTACAAGATACAGAGTGTCCCAAATAAATAAAAAATATCAAAGTTGTATTTTTTTAAATGGAACACCCTGTATATTATTACATTTTTAGTTTCTACGATTAAAATAAAGGTAAATTTGATTAAGGTTTATTACACTTAAACCTTACCGTTTTTGAAATATTTTTAATTTTGTGAAATCGCAGTATAAATTTTAAGGCTCCATTTCTCCGAGGGTATCAAAGTTTTTAATACTAAATATTTACTGAAGTTTATTTATTGATCAGTTATTGTGTTGCAATAATAAAAATTATACTACCTTATACAGAGTGTCTAAAAATTTATTTTAAATAATTACTAGCTTTAAACGGCAATAATTTGTTTAATTTAAATGGAACGCCCTGTATATTTTATGAGAATCAGATGCACAATTTAATTGTCTATCAAATTGTATTATACCACTTTTTACCTATCCCTTCAAGTTTTCTTAGAAAATGCATTTTCTTATAATTTAGACCTCATTTATCAATATACCCATGGAATATTGACATTTTAGATTGTTTTTAAAACAACAAATGTACAAAATGTACAGGATAGTAATATTATCGTTTTTAGTAAAACGATAATATTACTAGCCAATTTGTATGCAAAAAGAAAACTATTTAAATCTTTATAAAAGAGTATACCATTAATTAAATATACCACCAGTATTTCCGACCAAATACTAATTAATTACATACTTAACTGTATTCGTTAATAAATTATTCTAAATAAATGTGGATTTGAATCAGAAATCAATATAATAATAAGTTATGAAAATGAACGTTTCTGTTGTTAAATAAGCATTTGTCAAAAAATGAAATATCATGTTTAAGGTGTTGTTTTTTTACCACACTGTCTAATACACATACATAATTCAGTTTTTTAGTATTTGGAGCAATTATATATTATTAATCAACGCAAACAGTCAATTAATGTAGTTTGAATACTCGAATCATATTAATTGGTCCTCTTTAACAAATATTTAAACAGTTTTTTTATTTATTAATGATATAAACGAACTATATCGACAATATTAGTATCTGTACTCTTTAAAAATTTGGTACATCTTTAAAAATAATCTAAAATGTCAGTATTCCATGGGTATATTGATAAATGAGTTTTAAATTACAAGAAAATGCATTTTCTACGGAAACTTGAAGAGATAAGTAAAAAATGGTATAATACAATTTGATAGACAATTAAATTGTGCATCTGATTCTCAATATATATAGGGTGTTCCATTTAAATTAAACAAGTTATTGCCGTTTAAAGCTAATAATTATTTAAAGTAAATGTTTAGACACTCTGTATAATGTAGTAAAACTTTTATTATTGCAACACAATAACTGATCAATAAATAAACTTCAGTAAATATTTACTGTTAAAAACTTTGATACTCTTGGAGAAATCAAGCCTTAAAATTTATACTGCAATTTCACAAAATTGAAAAAGGTAAGGTTTAAGTGTAATAGACCTTAATCAAATTTACCTTTATTTTAATCGTAGAAACTAAAAATGTAATAATATACAGGGTGTTCCATTTAAAAAAATACAACTTTGATATTTTTTATTTATTTGGGACACTCTGTATCTTGTAAAAATATTTTTAAATTGTAGCTTTAATAGTCCTTCAACGAACCCAAAACTTACAATTTGTAAAAATCTAATCGTTTAGCTACAATATTCCGTGTCGTATGTGGTGAACAACCCTGTATATTTGTATAATTTTATATTGGGCTTTTAATTTTTTCGATATTTTCGGGATCCCCGGATTTAATATAGGGATTACGAGGACAAACATACACTGTGATCGCTGTTTGGAAACCCTGATTGTGACATATTTCCAAATACAACGTAGTTGCTGGTATTGGACCTGTTATAAGTAAAATCTTTATAATTTACTTTTTCATCTGTAGAAATTAATTGTTTAATTTGATTATAGCGTGATTAATCTTTATTTTAAATGATTGCAAACAAAAGAAAAAGGTAAAATATATGTTTTTTTTCTGAGAGATTTAGTTCAGTACGTCTACCGCCTATGTATAATAACAGTAATGCCAACTTTCTACTTGGATGTGCAATATACCATTATAAAATTTTAATAACATCTCTAACTCAGGTTTATTAGTGTATGACGGAACATTTATTATTATTATGTATTAAGATGACAATTTTTGGATAAATATTACATTAATTTTAATGGAGAAGTTATTTCCCAACATAATACCTCGAAAATTTATCTAAACTTTTAATTTTATTATTAATTGTTTCAGTGCTGATTGGTACAAAGGTCGTCTGACAGACCAACAATTGAAAGACTTGGAAAATCCCCCCACTCCCAAACCTAAAGCCACCAAAGTTTCGAAGCGAAGAAACAGGCCTCGTCCTCAACCGGCTGCCATAGACGAAGAATTGGTTAGATGAATACAAGACTTAACAAATTACATATGTTAATATAATATAAATGTTAATGTTTAGTGTTTTTTAATAATAAACGGTCTGTTTTAGGACAATAAAATGAGGATTTATTTATTTGTCCATTAATTATAATTTTTCTGTTACTATTTTCTTAAATTTAAAGTAGATCAACATGTTCAAGATATGGTAGTTAGATGTGTGAGACCGTTGAAAAATAAAAAATACTATGAAAGCAGTAGTCTGAAGCTACGTCATGACAACCTTTTTACCTTTTTTTTGTTAGTTTATTATTTCTCTTAATAAATTTGAATTTTTAAAGCTTGTTTTGAAAATTCCTAAAATTCCTATTTGAAGTTTGAGCTTGTTTTGTCAATTTCCTAATTTGTTTCTGTATTTTTTATAATTGATTTTATACAATTTTATACAAAGTGTATAACTCTGCAAAGACGTTGTATCTGGATTTAAATTACAGTACCTAGACACAACCTAGATAGGGTGATTCACGGCGAAGGCACATTTGACGTTTGTGGAGAACCGGTGATAGAATTTTTTTGAAAATTTGGGTTTCTAGATAAATGCACAGATTAGGTATACTATATGTATACAGATAAAAATCTTATCCCTAATTCGTGGTACGAAAATTGTTTGTTTATGACGATGTGCAAACGAGTAAAATTTCCTGTGCGCAAAAATAAACTCGCGTAAAATAACAATAAACAGCGTAATAGAGAGATATCGCTAAACAGAATAGCGTGCATGGACGTTAATAAGGCCAGGTGTTATTTCCTTTACGTGAGGTGGTATTAACTCTCTTTATTTATAGTTAGCGGATCGGAAAGAATTCTGTTCGCGTCGCGTCCGCTATTTAAACTTAACCTAACTTTGAATTTAAAACTTTGAAATTGTTTTGTTTACTAGGTATTTTAAAACTAAAGGGCTAAAGTGCTTATTTTACAGTGCTTTATTGTTCAACGTCTGCCAGTGGGTTTATGGCAACAAGCAACAAATTCTCTTAGAAGGGCTAAGTCGTCATCTGCTGTAAACCTAAGCCTCTTTATAAGTTCTTTAATAATTGGAAGAGGTAGAATCCATATTTTGGGCCATATTTATTTAATTAAAACTAATCCCAGCTAGTTAAATATCAAATTACCTAATAAAAAACTAAAGTATTAATTCGAAACAATTCAAACATAACCTAAAATAAAAGATCTCGCCGGCCGGCCCCGGTTGTCAAATACCCGCACATGCCCATTTAAGCAATTTTTAAACGTTATTTAGAAATAGCGCTTGGTGTAATTGATCCGCAAATTACCTCAGGCGGTAACGTTATTAGCGGGTGTTGCGTTAAAAATTGATTGGCGCATATCGTAACCATGATAAGGTACGCGCAAATACTGCATGACGCTATTCGGTCTTCCGATATCTCTCTAATAACTGTGCCGGTCAGGCGCTGTGCACAATTTTAGAGGCCATAAGTGGGCGTGCTATGTGCGCAAACTAGTAACCTAACTAGTGCCCGATTCCGAAAATTGGAACCACGAAAAACAATAAAGATAAAACAAAGTTTATAATCTGTATAATCTGTGATGAAGGCTCGGATGAAGGTATCTGCTCTATCTATCTGAAATATTTTCAGCATTACAGTGTTGCCGTATCATTTGAAAAGTGGTAGCATCTTTCTTATTTTAAATGGATCACCCAGTAGATTATTACATTTTTGGAAACTACTTTCATATCTCATAATTTTTCTACTATACTAACCTATACCTATCTCCAATAGTTTTTGAGATAAAAAATAAAACATGTGTAAAAAACGTGATCGTGAATAAGCATTGGTAAAATCACGAATTAAACATTTTTAAAGTTCAAATTTGAGTTATAAGTTAAAGAAAGTCGACATATTCGATCTTAAAACTATAAACTAAAAAAAGACTCTATAAAATTGCACAAATCTTTTTTATTTTAAATTCAACCGTATGTATATTTAAAAAATCAAGAGACTAATAAAGTTGCTTTTCAACGATATATCATATTCCTATGACTAAACCTTCCGATTTCTTTACGATTTTTTTTTCGATTACCGAATTTGCTATTTAAAAACTAATAATTCTATTATTATAGCTTCATTGCAAGAATTTTGGTACTATGACAATTTTAGAAATTGAGTACAATGCTATGCTACACTTAATATTTTTTTTTGTTTCGGGCATTTGAACACAATTTATTTAAACTAATTTAAAATCCGGCTCTGTTTTTTTTAAATATTTAATCTATTCATCGTTACAATATTGATAAGCTTCATAACTTAAGAATGACGTGGGGTAAAACATTGATTATGAAAAATCAAATGCAATAAAATAATTAAAAATAATATACAAATGAATACATACTTCAGGTTATTTGTAAAAGTGAAATCAATACATCTCAACATTTACAATAAAGAGTACAAAATGCATTCGGAAGTATAAGAAGAAAGTTCAAAGAGTTATAAATAAAATTAAACGAAAAATAAATTTGTGCAAAAGGGAGGGCGGTAACCCTTTCGAATATGTAGAGCATTAGAAACTAGTTTGTAGAAGTTGATTTATTTATAATAACTACGATTAATACTACGCATATTATTAGATCGTACACTGAGATTTCAAATTCACAATGAAAAAGTTAAAAATAATATCTTTAAATTGCTGACCTGGATATAATTTATTTGAATCTTCCAGGCTCGATTTTCCTTATTCAATGTTAATTATGCTGATCAATATTGTTGCGATGAATATAATCAGATTAAATAATTTAAAAAAGTAGAGTTGGACTTAAAATTATTGTAAATAACAATTAAATAGTTTTGTTGTTGTTAAGGTACCCAAAATAAAAAAAAGTATAAAGTGTGGCATATCAATGTACTCAGGAAGCCGAGTTCTTTCAAAACCGAAAATAAAAAATGCAGGTCCCTATTTAAAACAATTAAGTTGGCCTCTGTATCTCACAAATTATTAGCTAATTTGAAAATCTAAAAATACTATCAGATAGCCGTAATAAAGTGGCTATGAGAATGTGCAATTAGTTTTTTGATTTTCTTAAAAGTAACGACACGAAAAAATAAAACTCATTTCCAAAAAAATCCGTTTTTCCAAAAAACTCAGCAATCCTTGAAATTTATAAAACTTTTTTGATGGCATCTTGATAAACATCCCAAAGCGTAACTTTGCCCCAATTTAGCCATGTTCGTATCTATTACGGTTACCGAGATACCAATGCTCGTACCTCGAATTTGTAGCACCCTGTATAGTTGAACACTTTTCTTTGTTTAATTTTAATCATCTGCTGATGACATTATCCTGATACAATAAAATACCCCATATTTTTTTATACAGAAACAATAACTTATGTGAAAACTTTATTTTGTTTAGACAAAAACAACTTGAACCCCATTTCATAAATTATAATTATTATGAGTTGCATAATTTTAAATTCAAAATATATTAAAACCTTAATATTAATATCTCATTTCATTATTATACTCTGTAATTCGATTCTTTGTATAGTGCTGCTTCTTTGTGAAACTTTGATTTTTTCCAAAATAAAATGAATTAGACTATTTTTACTGTCTCAGCCATTTTCATATATACAGGGTGGCGCACCTCATTCGCCTCGGTTAATTATACGAGAACAGAAAGATGTAGAAACAAAATATTTTAGGGGTATATGTGGCGAGATAATGTGCACAATTTAAAATTATTTTGAAATATACAGGGTGTTTCAAAATTAAGATCCATACGAAAGTTATATTTTTTCTTATGGAACACCCGGTATTTTTGGATTCCTGGTCCCAAAAAAGACATTTATTATAAGGGTTAAATATGTTCAAAATCTTTAGTTTTTGAGATATTTAAAGATATTTAAATTTGCATGCTACAATAGAATAGACTATTAACACCCTGTACATTGCTTTTCAGAATTAATTCTTGTGCTGAGTTTAAAGGTAAAGAAATAAACTTTACTGAAAAATGGTATTGGTTTCTTAAATTTATACAGGGCTATCAAAACTTGCTGATCTATTTTAAAGACATATTTTATATAAAAACTTTGTTATTTTAAATATAACACCCTGTATTTTTTTAAATAAATCGAAGCAAATTCAAATGCTCTTTCAAACTATATTAGGGTTTCCTATACCTATCTAGCTCATATTTTGAATAAAAAGCGATTTTTAAATAAAATTGTAATCAAGATGGCCGGTGTCTCCATGACAATTTTCTAGTGACAGCTAGTAACTATTTTCAAAATCGACATTAGTTTATCAACGTTATTATTTATAATTTATAACAGTTTACTTAAATTTACCTACAATAGTTTAATAAGTAAGTATTCATTATTTTATCAAGAAAAATAAAGCAGTATCTGCTGGCGGAACGAACAGATATGTTATTAGTGATATTATTTTGTGAAGAAAATTCCTTCTCGGCCTCAAGGCCTTATGCTCAAAGATGTCCAAATAGAAATCTTCCTAATAAGAGTTTCTTTGAAAAACTTCTTGTCCTATTTCGCCTGGTAGTGTGGTTTATAAAAAAACTATTAGTCGTTGGAAGTGAAGAAAATGAATTTGTCGTAATTGACTCTTTTATAGAAAATCCATGTATCTAAAAGTCATCGTAAAATAATTCAAAGACTACTTCTTCGTTTTTGTTGATAGAATAATAAACATATATTTAATAAATGTTATTTATTAAACTATTGTGGGTAAATTAAATAAAAGTAAACTGGTATAAATTTAAACAAGTCTATAAACTAATTTTGATTTTGAAAATAGCTACTAACTGTCACTAGAAACTTGCCATGACAACACTAGCCATCTTGATTACAATTTTATTGAAAAATCGCTTTTTATTCAAAATCTAAGCCAGATAGGTACAGGAAACCCTAATATAGTTTGAAAGAGCATTTAAATCTGCATCGACATATTAAAAAAAACACATAGTGTTGCATTTGAAATAACGAAGGTTTTATGTAAAATAAATATTTAAAATAGACCAGCAATTTTTGATACTCCTGTATACATTTAAGGAAGGAGTAACATTTTTCTGCAAAGTTTATTTCTGTACCTTTAAACTCAGCACAAGAACTAATTCTGAAAAGTAATGTACAGGGTGTTAATAATCTATTCTATTGTAGCATGCAAATTTAAATATCTTTCAATATCT